AATCTGCCCCCAATTTCAGATGCCAGTCACAAGTCCCAGGCCTCCTAAATTTCTGACCAACCAGCTGCACGTTGAGGGTTCCCATGACCTCCTCCTTGGGTTTAATAATTGGCTCAAATGACTTACTTACTATTAAAGTTGTATTAGAAAGAACTGAACTCAGGAATAGCCAATGAAAGATGAGTAAGCAAGGGGACAAGGGGACGGGATGGGGTGGCATTTCCAAGCCCTCCCCAGGTGCACCACCCTCCCAGCACCTGTGTTCACCAACGCAAAAGCTTTGCAAACCTGGTGGGGTTTTTTCTTTTTTCTTTTTTTCTAAGTCAGGGTCTCAATCTGTCACCCAGGCTGGAGTGCAGGGACACAGTCACGACTCATCTCAACCTTGACCTCCTGGGCTCTGGCAATCTTCCCACCTCAGCCTCCTGAGTATCTGGGACTACAGGCATATGTCACCACAGCTAGCTAATTTTTTTTTTAATTTTTGTAGAGGTGAGGTCTCACTATGTTGCCCAGGCTGGTCCTGAACTCCTGGTATCAAGTGATCCTCCCACCTTGAGCTCCTAAAGGGTTGGAATTACAGGCGTGAGATACTACGCCCTGCCCAACCCTGGTTGTTTAGAGAATTTATGGGAATTCCATTACTTATGCATAATTGTCTAAGCCTTTGCCTATCGTGGAATAATCTCAATTTCCAGCCCTTCTCTCCTCCCTGGAGGTAGGGATTGGGAGTGGAAATTCCAACCCTCCACTCAGCCTTGGTCTTTGACAACTAGTCCCTCTGCTCTGAGGCTGCCCAGAGGTCCCCATCTCATTAACATACAAATAGATGCTTTTATCATGCCAGAGGTCCCAAGGGACTTAGAAGCTCTTGTGTCAGAGGCCAGGGATGAAGACAAAATATTATAACAAAAGATGCTTCTGTGATCCTTATCATTCAGGAAATGACACTGGTTTTAGGAGCTCTGTGTCAGAAACTGGGATAAAGACCAATTATGTATTTCTTATGATATTATGTATCCATATTACAAAAAACATTTGCCATTTGCCATGGTGTAAATATTCCCATCATGGTGGCCTATTTCAAGCTGCCAACCTGCTGCTTAGGAAGGTACATGCGTTACTGCCGTTCAAGCCTATGAGAGTTGGCTCAGCACACCTTTGCACGGGTCTCAGAAGGGTTAGAATTCACGTGTTTAACAAGTGTAAGGTAACTGAGCAACTGCCCCAAGGTTACACAGGCAGGTTCTCAGTAGGAGGGTCCCTGGGGGAGTTTCGTTTTTTAATATTATTATAAAGATGTGGGGTACATTTCAGGGTTAGGTATATAAACATTGATCATGCAGGTACCCTTGTTGATGAGGTATGCCCCTCCCTCTC